CAAAAGATACCCCCACGTGGACCTGTGAACGTGACCCCATTTAGAGAAAGGACTTTGCAGATGCCATCACATGGGGGATCTCAAAGTGAGAGGATCTTGGGTCAGGAGGGCCCTAAGTCAGTGACAAGTGTCCTTATAAGAGACGAGAGACTCAGAGGGAGATGCCATCAGACTGGAGGCATGCAGCCATCAGGGATGCTGGGGCCACCAGGAGATGGAAAGGCAGGAAGGACCCTCTCTCTTCCGAGGGAGTGCAACTCTGCAACACCTTGATTCAGTCTTCCACCCCTGGAGCTGCGGGAAGACACATTGCTTTGTTGTTGTTGTTGTTGTTGTTGCTATTTTTCATTCAGGGTCCCACTCTGTCACTCAGGTTGCAGTGCAGTGGCACACTCATGGCCACTACAGCCTTGACCTGCTGGGCTCAAGCGATCCTTCTACCTCAGCCTTCCAAGTGGCTGGAATTATAGACACACACCACCACACCTGGCTAATTTTTTTTCCTTTATTATAGAGAAGAGGTCTCGCCAAGTTGCCCAGGCTGGTCTCGAACCTGTGGGCCCAGGCAATCCTCTCACTTCCAAAGTGCTAGGATTATAGGTGTGAGCCACCGCGCCAGGTGCTATTAATATTATTTTTAAGTCAGGGTCTCACTCTGTCACCCAGGGTGGAGTGCAGTGGCATGCTCACGGTCACCGCAGCCTTGACCTGCTGGGCTCAGGTGATCCTTCCACCTCAGCCTTCCAAGTAGCAGGAACCACAGGCATGTGCTACCACATCTGGCTAATTTTTAAATTTATTGTAGAGACAAAATCTTGCCAAGTTGCCCAGGCTGATCTTGAACCCCTGGGCTCAGGCAGTCCTCTCACCTCCACTTCCTGTGCTGGGATTACAGGCATGAACCACCACGCCCGGCAGGACACACTTCAGTTGCTTTAAGCACCAGTTTGTGGTCACTTATGACAGTGACACCAACACAAGGCAGACCCCTCGGAGGGTGGAAAGTCTGACACCAGTCCAGGGAGAGAACCAGGCGGCCCTACAAGCCTCAGCGATGCCATGTTGGAAAGAGGATGCTGGATGCTTCCTCCCACCCCTCAACCACATGGTGGCTGTGGGACGAGACAGCTCCTATGAGTACCCACAGAGCAAAGGCCCCAGCCAGGGATACAGTACCCACATGCAGTCCAGTGCCACGGCCACTCAAAGACCAGCCAGCCTCGGCCAATGCCTTTCTCTGGCCCTGTGTCCTCCCACACCCTCCTCAATGTGCACAAACTCGGCTCCCAGCACTGGGCTTGGGGACCTGCACAAGGGAAGCTCGAGGTAAATACCACTAATGATGATGATGAAACAATTTGCAAAATAGAGAGCAGGGACTCAGGGCACAGAGTTAGACAAGAGCCGAGGGTCTCCAGGGAAATGGCTACAAGATCATGGGAGACCCTCGAGGCTCTGCCCAGAGCTGCCGGAGTAACCTGTGGGGGCAGAGGGGCTCAGAAACCCCTGGTCTTCTTTTTTGAACTAGAAACTGGCTCTGTTGGTCACCCAGGGCTCCTGAGGGAACGGCACCTGGGTGTTCATCACTGCAGGGCGTCTTGGGGCATTGAGGCTGAGCCACAGGCTTCTAACCCCTACCTTTGCTTTCTATTTTATTTTTTTGAAAAGATGGGTCTTGCTCTGCTGCTCAGGCCCATCTCAGACTCGGCCTCACAGGATTCTCCTTCTTCAGCCTCCAAAGTAACTGAGAATAGAGGAGTGAGCCACTATATCCGGCTCCCCTAACTTTTCTCTTAAAAGCTTTACTGAGATGCAAATTCACATACCACCCAATTTGCCCATACAAAGTGTACAACTTGGCCAAGTGTGGTGGCTCACACCAGTAATCCCAATCCTTCAGAAGGCCAAAGGAAGAGGATTGCCTGAGCCCAGAAGTTCAAGACCAGCCTGGGAAACACAGTGAGACCTCATCTCTACAAAAAATAAAAATCAAAAAATTAGCCAGGTGTGGTGGTGTGCATCTTAGCCCCAGTTACTTAGGAGGTTGAGGCAGGAGGATCACTTGAGCCCCGGAGTTGGAGGCCGGAGTGAGCTATGAATGCACCACTGCACTCCAGCCTGGACAACAGAGTGAGACCCTCAAAGATAAATAAATGAGTAAAGTGAACAATTCATTGGTTTTGGTATATTATGCTAATAATTTTTTAAATTGTGGTTAAATATATACGTGAAAGACAGCAGATGATTCATTTTCACACAATGAAGTCTGCCAACATGACCACGAACACATACTAAAAAGCAGACGTGACCAAAGGCCCATTAGAACAAAGGGGGGTATGGTAACAACCACATTAGGGAAACAGAACTTACTCAGAAATAAGGACCCAGCCAACCTGCTGTGTGTTCACAACAACTTCCTTAAAAAAAAAAAAAAAAGAAGGAAATGCAAACTCTCCAATCAAATAGTAACAAGTACTTATTATAACCTTATTTGAACTAAAAACCCCTTAGGTGATGTCTGGGAAAAACTGTAACCCTGCAACCTTCAATCAATGAGAAACCAGGGGAAGACCCTGCGCACTAGGGCATAAATTGCTTGCTGCATCTGCTCTGAGCGTGCCTGCCCACCAGACATGAGATCCGGCAAGACCGTCCTTAAAGTTTCACTTCTGCTGCACTCCACGTCTCTGTGCCCATCCTTTGATTTTGGACAGGTGAGTTTGTTTATCACAATATATAACAAAATTTGTCACTGCAAGCATCTTTAAGCAGACAACTCAGGAGCCCTGTTACAGTCACAATACCATGCAAGCACTTATTTCCAAAACTCTTCAACCTCCCCAGTCAGAACCCCTCCCCAGCCCTGGTGGCCTCTGCTGTGCTTGCTTTCTCTGTGGAGTTGCCTGGAACCCAAGGCCACACAACACACAACACATGGCCTTGGGGTCCGCTTCTCTCGTGAGCCTGATGTTTCCCGGTCCATGCACTCTGTAGTGGGAGTTGGCACTTCACTTCTTTTCTCAGCTGCATAATGATCCACTGCACAGAGAAACTGCTGATGACATGGGCTGTCTATATCTCCAGACCAGCCCCATCTTCACTCCACCTGCGTTGGCTCATGTAGATGGCCTTTACGAGGAAGGCTGAAACCCACCTAGGTCTCTTCACATCAAACTCCCACAACACTGGGAGAACCCTTCCCCTCCCCAAACAGACTGTCCCTTGTCCCCAGGGCCCCCCTCATACATGCTCCCCCCACCAGCCTCACAGAACCCTCCAGCTCCACAGCACTCCTGACTCTCATGTGTTCTGTAAACCCACCCTGTGGCATTTCTGGGAAGCTAAGTTTACTTTGTGTCCTGCCTGTGTCTAAGAATTCTTCAGAGCTGGGCTCGGTGGCTCAGCCTGTAATCCCGCACCTTTGGGGGCTGAGGTGAGTGGACTGTCTGAGCCCGCGGGTTCGAGACCCATCTGGGCAGCGAGACCTCATCTCTACAATAAATCAAAAAATCAGCCGGGCGTGGTAGCGCACGCCTGTAATTCCGGCTACTCGGAAGGCTGAGGTGGAAGGATCGCCGGAGCCCAGCAAGTCGAGGCTGCGGTGACCGGGAGCGGCCACTGCACTCCAGTCTGGGCGACCGAGTGAGACTCCAACTCAAAAAAAAAAAAAAAAAAAGAATTCTTCAGATCTCAGTCATATCATCTCTGAGCTTGGTCAGGTGTTGCCAGGTGAGGGAATGGGTGGGACCCGGAAGCCCACCCAGCCCAGGTGCTGGGAATCTCCATGCTGCAAAGGAAATTCTGCCAACAAGGGGGCAGCCACAGCCGCCCCAGGAGGCCGTGCTGGCCAGGGGGCCTTGAGTTCCTTGCCTGGCAAAATCACAGGCAGCATGGAGGTAGGGCAAGCTGTTGGAATCAGGGCCCAGAAGGGGTTTTACTAGAACCCCAGGAACAGTGGGAGCCAGTGCCAGGAAACGTGAGATGACCACCGGTAAGCCAGACTGCAAACAGGCCACATTTGATCCCTGGAGTTTTCCAGAAAGTCCCAGGAAAAACTGGCCATTAGATGTCTAACTGGACATGACACGATTTGCAGTGGTTTGAAAACCAAGTCAGTGCCGGGCTTGGTGGCTCAGCCTGTAATCCCGCACCTTGGGAGGCTGAGGTGAGTGGATTGCCTGAGCCCGTGGGTTCGAGACCCGCCTGGGCAACTTGGTGAGACCTCATCTCTACAATAAATTTTTTAAAAATTGGTCGGGTGTGGTAGCACGCGCCTGTAGTTCCAGCTACTTGGCAGGCTGAGGTGGAAGGATCGCCGGAGCCCAGCAGGTCGAGGCTGCAGTGGCCGGGAGTGGCCACTGCACTCCAGTCTGGGCGACAAAGTGAGACTCCAACTCAAAAAAAAAAGAAAGAAACCCGAGTCAGTCCCGCAGCACCCCTGTTCCGGATTATGAAATCCCCGAAGGACACGGAGTTGCCGCAGGCTGGCATCCAAAATATCAGAAAGGGGTCTCAAGGTCCTGGGAGGGGCTCCCGTGGGCCTGCATCCAACCACAAGGATGGGAGGAGCCGCCCGTCTCCCTGTGACAGTCCCGTTTTCTTCACTGTCTTAATCAACAATTGAGCGCCTACTGTGTCCGCGCCGTCCTGGGCAGCACCGTGGGCAGGGCCAAGCCAGGCCCCACACTGCAGGTAGGTGAGCCAGGGACTACCACGTGAACGGAGGAGGAGCCCCTCTGCTTCCTTGTGAAGGCGGAGAGGACCGGCGCCGCGCCGC